TTTCCACTTGGACTACTTGCAACATTTCCTGATTTATGATGTCCAAACACACCATCAAGAATAACATATAATCCAAGACTATGTGCTTTATTAATTAATTCATGAAGTTCATCATTTGTTCCAAATTTTGGATCTACATTAAAATAGTCATAGGTAAAGTATCCAGTTGAATCTAATTTACTTCCACCATTTGAATTAAAGATAGGAGTCATCCATAGTGCATTCATTCCTAAGTCTTTAATATATTGAAGAGAATTAATAATACCTCGTAAATCACCACAATGTCTTGATGGTCCATATCCTGTACAATATCCTCTACTTGAATCACCATCTTGGAATGAACTTACCATAACCTGATAAATTCTAAGGTTATTGAAAATGTTTGTGTCAATAGAAAATACAAAAGTGAATAATAACAAAAAGAGTATTAATGTCATTATAATGAACGAAGTCAAACTAAAATAAAAGGGAGTTTTTAGTATTATTTATGGAGATAATTAAAATTATTACTTTAAAAAATTAAATTTTATATAAAATTTTCTTTTCTTATTGCTTAAAAATTAAATATTAAAATAAATAAAATATTAACTATAAATAATAAGACAGAAAAGTAAATTATTTCTTTGATTGAATCTTCTTCTTTGGTCTGAGATCACCTGAATGTCCACATTTCTTCTTTCTGCATGTAGTTGCCCTAAGTGGAAGACGAGCATAGCATCTTCTGCAAATCATTTTATCACAATTGTATTTTCTGGCAATAGCTTCCAAGGCTGGTTCAATACCCATAGGATGAACTACAATTTTTTAAGTTCAAAACAGGGTTGATATTATTAAAATTAAAAAATAATAAAAATTATCATTTTTTTATTTATTTGAAAAAAAAAGAAACAAAAAACATTTTTTTTTAACAAAAATGAAGAAAAGTTAATTCAACAAAATTGAGAAGATTAGTTTTTGTTGCAAAGTAAAGAAAAATCTTTTCTTTTTAAAACTGAAATAATATATTACTATGGGAAATACTACTAGCCTCAGAATAGCTAATGAACCACAGTCAATGAATTATAAACAAGTTCTTGAGAAGTGTCTTAAAAATTTTCCTATTTCAAGTATTGATAATGTTCATCTTGCAAATACTTTGTTTAGTAGAATTCCTAAACCATTTACTCAAAGGATATTTAGTATTTTCCCTGAAAAAATTTCATTTGAAACTGTTGTTGCTTTAGTTTATATATTCATGGTTTCACCTCGTCACACCCGTGCCTGTTTTGTTGTTGATTTATATATTGGAAATAAAGTACAATTAACAAGAGACCAAGTTTATCGTTTCTTTTATGACTTAACAATAGAAACACATTCAAGTATAGATATCACAGTTTTACTTGAAGACTTTGTTTCACAAAATAATCACAAAGACTATACTGATACCGACCTTATTGATTATCTAACGTTTCGTATCAATATTGACAAAGTTAAAAGTCTTCCTATATTTAAATGGATTATAAGTGGTGGTACAATGCCTGAAAAAGGTTATCCTTTAATTGAACCAGAAAGAACAGTTAATGACCTTTTGTTAATGTGGGATGTAACAAAACCAAAAATTTCTACTTTAAAACATTCTAAGGTAACAAGTAAAATTATTTCTACATATTCAACCATTGATAGTTTATGTAATTTTAAAGAAAGATCAATTAAGCAATTGAGAGAAATTTACTATTTATTACATCCACTACAATATACGTCTAAAGGAATTCCCATTCAAACTATCATATCGATCTTTGCTCTTAGTTTAAATCGTTCAATTTTAGTTCCTTTAACAACATTACTAAAGAATGAGAAATACAATGAATTCTTTATCGCTATTACTTTCACTACAAAGGTTTCAAAAAATGAAAAATTTCAATTTGTTAGAGAAATAATAAACCCGCCAAAAGAAGGTACTGTTAATAAACAATTTATTACTCCAATTGTTGAATCTATTTCACTTTTTTATTCTGTCGTTTATAACTCAGTAGGTGAATTTAATTTACAGGATAAAATTATTGAATTTATTTGGGAAGAACTAAAAGATCTAGGAGAACAATTTACATATGATACCTTTGAAAATGCATTTTCTTCTAATAGTAAGTTAGACACTATGGTCGATCAACTAACACAAGCCACTACAGTGCTCCATGGTGTTTTACCAAAAAAACTCGAAACAGAAGCACAAGTCTTTAATGCTCTAATGAGCATGTATGAATTAAATAAGATGAAACCAGGTGAAACTGTTGTTCTTATTCCATCAACCTGGTTTTCAAAATGGACTATGATGCTTAATTCAAGTAAAAGAGAGCCATTAGAACGAATTAATTTTAATTTGTTATTAGATGATAAAGTTGCAGTGACTCTTAAACCAAATATTATGGAAAGGGATATTATTCCTCTACACCCAGAGGTATTTTTAGTGATTGACTCATGGTATAAACATGAAGGAAATGTAATTGAAAGAAGGTTATATTATAATCAAGAAAAGAAAAGAATAGACATAGAATTATTTCCATTAAAATTATATTCATTTATTCATATTAAAGGTGAATTAGAAATACCTTCAAATACTTCCCATATTGATACATTATTAATTTCTAGATTTGCTTCGTTAAGAGAGTTACATAAATCGTTATGTACCAAATATAAATTACCTATTAATAAAACACGAGTATTATTATTTGGAAAATCAAATATACCTTTAGTTGTATCAATTGTTGATGGAATTGAAATTTATCAATATTTTAAAGAAGGGTCATGGGTTTGTCTTGAAACACTTAGTGTATATTCAGAAATTCAGAATATAAATGATGGAATAACCAGTGTTGGTATCCATGGAGGTGAATATGGTATTTTTAATGAAGGAAATACGTCTTATATTAGTACTGTTATTCAATGCCTTTCACACACCCCTTTAATTCGAGATTTCTTTTTATCTCAATCCTTTAAAGAAGATACGACAAATGGACCATTGAAAAGTCTTGCAAATGCATTTTCAAACTTGCTTTATAATTTATGGAAACCATCTAACAAACCAGTAATTGTATCAATCAAAGAGTTTAGAGAAGTTTTTATAAATTGTACTCAACAATTTAATGATAAAGATCAACATGACGTTGTGGAATACTTAACATATTTATTAGATTGTCTTCATGAGTCAGTAAATAGAAATTCAGGATGTGGACTACCATATTTAGAAATTCCAAATGAAGACATGAAGATTATTGCTCAAAATGCGTGGAAAGAATTTAATACATTAAATCAGTCAATAGTTACAGACTCATTTACTGCTATGATTAAGAACAAAATTCAATGTACGTCTTGTAACCATATAAAATATATAATGAATCCAACTAATATTATATCTGTTCCATTACCATCTGAAAAGTTTAAAGTCATTGACTTTACTGTTGTACCTATGGACGGTCAAATTCCAATCAAATATTCAATTAAAAGTACTCAAGAACGATCACTTGGTGATTGTCTTAAAGAATTAAGTTTATTATGTGGGTTATCCCTTTCACACATGTTGTGTGCTGATGCTCCAGGTTCAATAATTCTCAACATTTTAAAAGACTCAACTCCAATAAAAAAATTAATGAATGGAGTTAAAGTTTTTGAAGTAGAAAAATTCCCTTCCATATTCCCTGAAAGGAGGTGCTTAAATTCAGTTATAACTAAGTCAGTTAAAAGACAATCAACCACAAACAAAATGGCTCGTACACCAAGACAGTCAATGGAAGTTGCATTGAGAAATTCAATAAAAAATACAGTGATTATCCCTCAAACTTCATTGACACCATTAAGAATGAAGGCTGAAGTATCAAAGAAAGGAGTTGTTATGATTAATTGCTTACATAGAATTGTTACTGAAAACGAAATCTATTTCTTTAATAAATATTTAACGTCAGTCGTTTCCTTACCATTTATTCTTACTTATTCATATGAAGAACTTACAGTATCTAATATTGTACGTGGAATACTAAGACATGTTAGAGTCGCTCTTAGACAACTTATTACCCAAGAAAATAAAATATTTATTGACTTACCAACAACATTTAATATTGAGTATTTGTTGTCAAAAGGATTAGACCAATTACCATTTGATTTAAGAGTAACAAGTTATGATGGAAAGAATTGTTTTGATTGCTCATGGGATAAAGACTGTTGTGGGTGTATATTAACAGATAAAATTCTTCAGCAATATGACTTTAATGGTTTTACATTTACTGTTTGTATTGATTGGAAGGGCAATTCATTAATTAAGTATGACCAATCAATTGCTGATTTATATCTTAAAGATGAAAGTGTTATAGCACTAAGACAGTTACAAACAGAATCCATTCAATTAGTTGATTGTTTTAAATTACTTAATTTACATGATGAATTTTCTATTGATGATGGTTGGGTATGTCCACATTGTCAGGCTATTTGTCCTGCGACAAATGTCATTTCTTTATATTCTATGCCAATATATCTGATAGTTACCTTAAAAAGGTTTATTCAAAATGGTGATAAATGGATTAAAAGTAATGCTGAAGTTATTTTCCCTATTGAAGGATTAAAGGCAAGAGATATAGTTGACAGTTCAATAGAAACTACTGAAGAAGATGTCTATGATTTGTATGCAGTAATTAATCATATTGGAAAATTAAATGAGAGTCATTACACTGCAATTTGTAAAGTTGATAAAGATAAATGGTTAAAATTTGATGACAAGTCAGTATCTCAAGTTACTTCTGATAATATCTGTACCAACACTGCTTATATTCTTTTCTATAAAAAACGAAATGTCAACCCAGAAGACATTATGAATAAGTATCATTTTACTGACCAAAAAGAATTATTAACACAGTCATGCGTTATTATGTAAAATGAATAAAATACATAGTTAATTAATTTAATTTCTTGGTTTCTTAATGACTTAAGTTTGATAAATGACATAACAAGAAAGAAATTATTAATACCATATTCAATCAGTGTTTAGTTAGAAGAATTTTTATTGAATCAACCCATTTTCTTATTTGAGGACTATGATGAAGTTGTAACAATGTTAGTTCCCATAAGCATGAGTTGATTGCACCTGAATGGTCTGGTTGTTGGACTGATGGATTATAAATACCAAATCCATTTTCTTGTTCAATAAGACCAATAAAAGTATCTCGATATCTTTTAAAGATCCAAGTGAGAATAGCACAGAAGTCTAAAGCTATAGAAGAGTCACAGTTCAACATCATAATTAATATTCTTTTAACAAATGAAGCAATTCTAACTGGAGGCAATTGTTTAATATCAAGAAGCATAATTTTTAATACACCAACTAATTTTTGTCTATTATCAATGTGTTGTTCTCCAATAAAATCATCTTGGAATAATAGAATTTGGTCTAATACCTTATACATTGATTCATAAAATTGAACATTATCAATTGTAACAAGGAAATTTTGAAGTTTTAATGTATTAAAAATAGTATAACAGACTCTAATAGTATCAATTGGTTGTAATTTGTCTGCTTTGTTTTCAAGTAATTGTTGTAATAATTTGATAATATCTAACATAAAGTCATAATTAATTTTATGAGTGTGAATAGACATTCCTTCTAAAACTAAAGGAACTAATGGAGATTCTTGATTTTCTTTTAATACTCTAAAATATGTTCTGAAGATAGTATCTAAAACTAACATATTATATTTCTTTTTTTCTTCAACACTGTATTTAGTTTCAATTAATTTGACATCTTTATCAAGTTTTCTTTCAATTCTTAATTCTTTTAATTTCTTTCTTGATAACTTTTGTTTTTTATGATCAACATGTTTTAACTCTTCTTTTCTTGGGTTAGTTTTAATATTAAATGGATTAATTTCTTCTGATGTTGATTCAACAACAAGAAATGGACGAATAGTGTTTGGATTACATTCATAATTTTGTTTTTTAACAGTTTGAGCAATTCTTCTAACAATTTCTAATGTAACATCTCCTCTTAAATCGTCTTGAATAACTTCTTGTAATGATTGTGAAATAGGATAATTGAATTCTTCATTTGATGAAAATAAGAATACCATTGAAAGTTCAACTAATGTAATATGAAAATTAAAATGCCAATTTCTTTTTAATAAATCACATAAAACTTTTAATAAAATTTGTGCCATTGCTGTTTTAACAACACTCCCTTTGATTAATAATCTTTTAAACGATGGTTTCATAATTTCACTCTTTAACAATGAAATGAACTTTCCATAATATGATATTAAATTTTGTTCAAATGTTACTCTCTTTCTTACTGCAATAGAAAGTGTTCCTTTAGCTGATGTTAATAATTCATTACTTTTAATAATATAATCTGGACGAATATCACAAAATACTTTTGTTAATGAAAAACGGGATAATCCAGCTATAGCCATATTTTTTGAAGAACAAAAAGATAATAATTCTCTCAGAGCTAATGGAAAATCTGTTGAAGTAGTATCAGAAATAATTGAAGTACAAAGAGAGGCAATTCTTTTTTTTGCTAAATCAATATTAATAATAGGAGATTCTTCAACTTCATATTTTGGTAATTGGTCTTCTTTCAACACATCATTTTCAGTTATATTCATATCAGTTTCTCTTTCTTTTCTATCATCATCATCATTTTCTTGATTTTCATCATCATCACTCATTTCTTCTTGATTCATATCTTCTTCGCTCATTTGATATTGTTCATCATCGTAGCTCATCTTTTTGTCTTGTAAGATCTTCATTTTTATTACTCTTTTAAGGTTTTTTGATGTACTATTAAAATAGTAAAAGAATGATAAAAGAAATGATTTGATAAAAAACAAAAAACAATCAAGGAAATCTTAATAGGTTTTTATGGAACAAAAGCAGAAGAAACATACTCATTTTAAAAAGGCAAAGAAACCATCTGGCACACAAACCACAACTAACAAAACAAAAAAAAGAGAAAATAAGAAATTATTTTCAGTTAAACCAAAGATTCTTGAACGACAAAAAATTGAAGAAGAAATTAATGAACTAAATTCAAGAATAAGAAAAGAAACACCAGCAAGAGGAGTTAATCCACTTTTAAGTGAATCTAAAATAGGAGAAGATTATTCTATTAGTTATCCTGATGCTAAACGATTTGATCAATTTCCTATTAGTAAAGCAACAATTCAACTTCTTAATAAAAATCGTTTTATTACAATGACACCAATTCAAAGAGCTGCTATTCCACATGCATTAGCTGGAAGAGATATTATTGGAGCTGCAAGAACTGGAAGTGGAAAAACATTAGCATTTTTAATTCCACTTATTGAATTTATGTATCGTTCACGATGGACTGAATTAGATGGGTTATGTTCAATCATTTTATCACCAACAAGAGAATTAGCACAACAAATATTTGATGTATTTGCCTCTATAGCAGGAGAACGTTTTACTGCTGCATTGATTACAGGTGGAAAAGATACAAAAGAAGAAGCTAAAGTTATTCGATTAATGAATGTTTTAATATGTACTCCAGGTAGATTACTCTATCACTTAGACAATACACCTCATTTTAATACAACACCATTACGAATGTTAATTCTAGATGAAGCAGATAGAATTCTTGATATGGGATTCAAGAAAGATCTTACAGCAATATTAGAACATCTTCCTAAACAAAGACAAACAATGTTATTCTCTGCAACACAAACAAAGTCTGTCCAAGACTTAATTCGGTTATCATTAAGACATCCAGAATATATTTCTGTTGACGAAAAAGCACAACATGCAACTCCAGAAACATTAAATCAAACATATATGTTACTTGGTGATGGAGATAAAATTAATGTTTTATTTTCATTTATTAGAACACATACTAATTCTAAAATGATTGTCTTCTTCCAAACAACAAAAGAAGTTAGATTTTTCTTTGAAACATTCAAAAAATTAAGGGTTGGAGCAGTGTTATATTTATTATATGGTCGTCAATCACAAAATAGTAGAAATGAACAACTAAGTACATTTACAAAAGAAAAGAGAGGTATTTTATTTTGTACTGACATTGCATCTCGTGGATTAGATATTCAAGGAGTAGATTGGATTGTTCAATATGATTGTCCTGAAGATACAGCACAATATATTCATCGAGTCGGAAGAACAGCACGAATAAATCATAATGGTCAAGCATTATTATTACTTACACATAATGAAGAAGCATTTATTGAACAATTAGAAAAAGCTAAAGTGCCATTGAATAGAGTAGAACCAAATATTGCACGAATGAAGAATATTGCCAATGACATCACTGAATTAATGATTGAAGTTCCAATTATTAAACACTATGCAGAAAAGAGTATTGATGCATATATTTATAGTTTAACAAAGATGCATAATAAATCTGTTTTTGATTCAGCAAAAGTTGATGAAAAAGCAATGAGACAATCTTATGGATTATTTGCTGATAAACTAGAAGAAACAAACAAAGAAGATCATATCAAATTTGAAGAAGAAGATGATGATGACGTTGTAGAAGAAGCTGCTACAAAAGCTGAGGGTGATGATGACGATCTATTAGAAAAGGCAGACGAACAAATTATTGAAGAAGTTAAACCAAAACAATTTGACATTTCACTTAAACCAAAACGATTAACTAAGAAAGCAATTCACTCAGTTGGAACATACATCAAATTTGAAGACTCTGACACTGAACAAGACAACCAAAATGATTTAGTTGAAAAGATGGAAGAAGAAATGAGAGTTGCTGATATTGAAGATAAAGAGACTGCAAAAAAAGAATTGAAAATCAAACGAATGAAAAAACAAAGTGCATTGACTGGTTTTGCAGACGTTGAAATTGCTGATGACCGAAAAAGAAAGAGTAGTCTTACTGAATCAATGAAAGAACCAAAAACAAAGAAAACAGCAGAAGAAATGCTACAAGAAAAATTAAAAGGAAGTTCATTACTTTAAAAAACAGACATTAACTTTGATTGACTTTTTGATTAGAGAATATTTTGTGTTTATTCATAAATTAAATCACATTTAAACGTAAAATTGGTGAGTGTTTGTTGAATAATTTTGATGTATAAAAATAAATTATATTTTTAATTGACTATTTATTCTATTTTTGTGTATACTATATGAGATAAATACAGTATCTGGTTAGTCTTCTTGTTTTAAGCTTATTGATAAAAGAACAAAAACATAATAACATTCTTTTTTCTTTATTTCTTATATCTGTCAATAAAAATAATAAAAGATAATTTTGTCAATATGTTAATTATTTATTTTACATAACTATTCAAAATAATATATTGAAAAATATTTTCGTATATACCTTCATTTTTAAACAAACACACAGAACAAGAAACACCACAAAAATATAAAAACAAATAACAAAATAAAAGGAAATTCATATCAATCAAGGAATAAAAAGAATAGAAAATTGAGTGAAAATAGATATTATTTGTATTGTCAGAAATACTTTATTTATCTCATTAAACATTACAATAATACTTATCATAATATTGATGATGTGAGTCATTTCATTCAATACATTATTCATTTTCATAAATATTTTAACTATAATTTCAATATAAACAACTGTGTTTTTATAATAGAAATGAGTGTCATAATAAAACTCAACGAATAACAAAATACATATATATGTAAACAAATATATAAACATTTATTAATTACTAAATTTAATGAATTTTAATTCAATTGATTTTAATAATCCTCCTAATTGTATTAATAATGATAAAATGAATATAATTTACAATAAAGATTTATTTGTTAATTACATTTTATTCGATGAAAGAAGATAATATGTTTTATCAAAACATGAAAGAAAAGAAAGGATATATTATAGATATTGTTTTATGTCAAAATAAGAATATAGATTTAAATTATATTCATAAAATAAATAAATACAAAGAATTACAAGAGAAATTAATAAATAATAGAGAAATAATATATGTAGAAATAATACATGTTATTTTATCAATATTTTGATTAATTCATAAAGAGTCAGTCAAATTAAAATAACTGAAATTACAATAGTATTTTCTCAATAATACTTGACAAATAATAATAAAAAAATATGAAAGACTTAATGTTTTACAATTTGAGTTAATACAATATAATAGAAAATAACCATCTCATTTCACATAATATTAAATAAATATAAAGAATAATCAAAACATAATGAAGATATATTTATTATGTGAACTTTTTTAGGTTAAGTATTCTACTTCTTATAATATTATTTCTTTAACTATTATTCCATCTTCAATCATTTCATCTTTTTCAACACAATTATGAAATGCTTTGATATTATCAAATAATCTTCTTGAATAATGAATTAAATGAATTTGACTAAAATGAAATTATTCATATTTCAATGAAATCTTTTAACTCTTATTTCTCAATTAATAAATTCATTAATATCATCAACACACATTGATATTATCATTATTGATTTATATCAGTGGTTTATTCTTTCTTTATTATATCATTTTGAACTTCTTTATTTTAATATCATTTTTCTTTTTTTATTAAATTATTATTAAAAACAAATCAATTATGATTTACTGAATAGTTGGTATTTCATTATATTTGGAATTAAATGATTCTTTTCTTCATCGTGTTTTATTTCTTTTGTTTTAATGTATTTTCAAGTGTTATCAAATTAATTGAAAAATCATTTAATTTGTTATTTGATTTTTATTTTAATGATTATTTAATCAAATCATTCTTTATACTGTTGTTTAAGAAGAATAAGTCAATAATACGTTGTCTATGCATCATTTTCAATATTAATACACACTTATTAATTACTTTTCTTGATAAAACAAATCTATGTTTATTCTATAATCATCATTAATTATTTCCATCTTGTTAATTAATAATTCATCATATTAAAAAACGAATATTATATCATATTAAATACAATAAATAATACAACAATCATAATAACTACTCCATTCATCGTTACTTATAATATAAATAAATAAATATTAATTAATTAGTATTGAATGGATAGTATCTCATAAAATACATCATCATAATCAGATTTTATTTGATATTTCATTATTTGATTTTGTATTAATCTTTGTGAGTGTTTTTATGATTTCCTTCTTCATTATATTCATTTAATTTCATGATGCATTTTATTCTGTACCATTTTCTTCCCTTGACCAAATCTTCTAGTCTATTGATTTTCTTTAGGATTTCTTTTATTTCATCAAATTTATCTCTTATTATTTTATTTTGGAGATAGAGGTGCATAACCATTGAAATATTCTTCATATCATCTTGCAGATCATGCATTCTGCTTCCTGACAATACCCATCTATTATTAATTTCTCTTATTAATCAGTCAGCTTCTTTTCTTTGAAAGTAGTAATTAATGTTTGAACATTTTCTACTTTCATTTCTTTTATTTTATTGATGAGAGTGTTAAGATATTCTTCATCAATTTCTGTAGAGTTATTTTTTATTATGATTTTTTATTATTGAATTACACTCTATTCTTCTTTATATTATATCATTTATTTTCACTTTAATGTATTGTTTAGTGCTTTCTTTTATGTGACATTTTAATATATTTAATATATTCTTTTTCATTATTTACATTAATGTTTATCACTTTTATTATGCTTTCAATTTGTTCTTTC